CTCCACCACACTTACATTCTGCTCTTCTTCACTCCTAAAAGATGGTATACCTCCCTGGCCAGTGCATGAAATTACCGCCTCCCTTTCTTCCTCAACATTTAAAAGTTCCTCAAAATATTCTCGCCATCTACCTAATACCTCCCTTTCCCCATCTACTAATTCCCCTACTCTGTTTTTAATTAACTGACAAATCCATACTTTCCCTAGGCTTTCTTAACTTGTTTAACTCACTCCAAAATTTTTTCTTATTTTCATTAAAATTTCTTGACAGTGCCTCTCCCACTCTATCATCTGCTCTCCTTTTGCACTCTCTCACCACTCTCTTCACCTTTCTTTTACTCTCCATATACTCTGCTCTTCTTATAACACTTCTGCTTTGTAAAAACCTCTCATAAGCTACCTTTTTCTCTTTTATCACACCCTTTACTTCATCATTCTACCAGTCACTCCTCTTTCCTCCTGCCCCCACCCTCCTATAACCACAAACTTCTGCCCCACATTCTAATACTGCATTTTTAAAACTATTCCAACCCTCTTCAACCCCCCCATACTCATCTTTGCACTAGCCGACCTTTCTGCCAATAGTCTGCCAATATCTCACCCGAACTTCCTCCTCCCTTAGTTTATACACTTTCACCTTCCTCTTACTTGTTGTTGCCACCTTCCTCTTTTCCCATCTACCTCTTACTCTAACTGTAGCTACAACTAAATAATGATCCGATATATCAGTTGCCCCTCTATAAACATGTACATCCTGGAGCCTACCCATCAACCTTTTATCCACCAATACATAATCTAACAAACTACTTTCATTACGTGCTACATCATACCTTGTATATTTATTTATCCTCTTTTTCATAAAATATGTATTACTTATTACCAAATTTCTTTCTACACATAGCTCAATTAAAGGCTCCCCATTTACATTTACCCCTGGCACCCCAAATTTACCTACTACTCCCTCCATAACATTTTTACCCACTTTAGCATATCCTGTGGATAATTTCTGCCTGCAATGCTATTCCTACATGGAAATGTTATTTACATGTAGGAAATAACATTTTTAACCCCTTCATGTAACCCTGATGCACCTGCTTAGAAAATAAAATTTTATTATTATTACTATTATTATTATATTATTATTATTATGATTAGTAAATGGTGGCATTATTAAACCACAGTAGATATTTCTTCAGCAAGAATACAAGAAGGGCATTTAGGAGCTACAATACAGAATGAAGAATATCCAACAAAATCTAAAATAATCTCCTGATACATATTTTAAAACTTGGTACTGTAGTTGTTTTCTGCTCCACAGCTGCCCCCCCCCCCCCAAAAAAAAAAAAAAAATGTAATGTTACTTTAGAAAGATCCCTTTACTTTCACCTCAAAGGGAGGTGCTTAGATGCCAATGAAGAGCCTTTGATCCAAGATACTGGAGCTACTTTCCTCTTTGGATCACACCTAATTACCTCTCATTATCCAGAGTATTTTTTTTTTTTTTGCTTTTCAGGTCTCCACCTTGACTACCTTGCATTAGTATTAAGATTAAATAAGATTGTAATAAAGTTAACCACTATTACCTTGTCTAGTTTTAAGTAGTTACTATGTACTAGGATTAGTCTGCCTGAAATGCCCTGGCATGATGGTGGCTTTCTTTTTACTTAGTAAACCAAAATAGTAATTACACACTGTAACCTTTACAAAGAAATAAATCTTTACTTTTATCTTATCTTTAAATCCACGGACCTCAGTGATGAGACTAACGACTCTCATCACTGGGCTACGACTGTTCGTCTCTCTCATTTCCCAGGTTCTATATGACACTTACAGGATTGGCACTTCCCCATGACTACAGTAATTAATGCCTTACAAGTGTATGTATATAATGCCCAGTGGGTGGTGCAGCTATGCCTGCTTTGATTTTTTAAACAAGGGAAATGAGGCCTGAAAAACCGCATAAGCTGCATTTAATCAAATTCACAAAATCCAAGCATGAGAGTTGGGTGTATTCATAATTAAAATTCAGAATGAACATTTAACATTACTTTTACTTTTATGGAAGACTCTTGTTGGCATATGGAAGACAGCGAGGAGAGGTTATTTCTACCACCATCACTACCACCCTCTACCACCATCACTGCCACCCTCTACCACCATCACTACCACCCTCTACCACCATCACTACAACCATTACTATCACCCTCTACCACCATCACTACCACCCTCTACCACCATTACTACCACCCTCTTCCGACAAGAAACAAAGCCAGACTGACTCAGAATGCATGGGATGCGTTGTGTGGGCGTGGGTGGACACATTCGGTACGGCAGACCACTGTCAACTCGATGACAACCAAAGTGATGAACGAAAACCGGGACAAAATTTTTACGGAAAAAGTCATCGAAAACTGAATTCAATGAAAACCAAGGCAAACGAAAACCGAGGTTCCACTGTACAGAACAGCACTGCCAATTGCAGTGATCATACAGTATACCGGCACAACAGATATAATATGTTTAATTGTGGCAATAAATAAAATATTAATGAAATGTGCATAAATCAAGAAGATGAATATCAGAATCTGCAGAGAGGTGAACCAACAGTGCATTTTTTTTTTTTCACATCAACCTGCTTAACAGACTACCTCATAGTGAAATACATGTCATATGATCAACCTATGTATATACGTACTGTAAATACCTGCACTTCAAAACCTGTGAAAGCAAACAATTAATAAATATTTTACATACGCTGTATTGCATACAGTACATTTATTTTTTGTGCTGTTAGACTGCCCCAAAATTTCTTCACAGATATTTGCGCACACTGTACTGCATTATATCACATGTTCTATCATCAATCATTATTATTATTACAATATTACATTCATGGGGGAGTGCTAAACCTGTAGGGATTGATAAATTAAACACATGCAACACTTAGGTATCCTTACTGCAGAAACATTTTGTCACATAGTGGCTTCAGCAGTTCAATACAAAGAAAAATGGTGAAGATCAGAAGGCATTTGAGGTAATCAGTCCCTCAGTTTGGAGTCGATGTAATCAGTCCATCAATTGAATTGTACTGATGAAACCACTGCATGGTGAAACGTTTCCACAATAGAGATACCCAAGTGTTGCACGTGTCTAATTTATCAACTAGTTGGCTTTCTGAACCAATTATCTACATGCCTGTAGGGATTATAGAACACCTGAGGGAAAGGAAGGCAATAAGGTGCAATCCAAGGAAGGAATGATCAGGTCTAATTCCTTGGATCAAGAGCCCATCACTGGCATCAAGAACCTACCTAGAAGGGTCAACATTACCATAAAAAAACTGTCCACCACAAAACTGGAGAGTTTTCCCATGTACAATTTAAAGGTTAATACTGTACCAGTACTATGTGCTTGTACCTATAACATTTCTTTCTTTTGCAATGCTAGGCATTATTCAGTTATCAAACCCATAAAAAGTTCTCCATTCACTTCTCAATATTTTGTCCCAAAGCATCAAAATCTGATCCAACTTTAACATTCGTAGTTATCAGTCTCATTTTATCATCTTTGACTATCTTAAGTTGCATTTAACAAGTTTATATTTCAATTTTGACTTGCCTTAACATGTACAATATTGATTTCTGTAAAATACCTAAAAATTGTTTTCCTCCCTTGACATTAGCTCAATGTAAACATCTTTTTGTTATAGTCGGTTTTTACATAAAAAATTTCATGTATATACATTACCTCATATCTGTAATAAAAATACCAGATATAATTTTAAAGGGAAAACAAATTCTAACCTGAACACAAATCACTAAATCTTCATTTCTAACAATAGTAATCATTACTGCTGCTAAGCAAAATCTGGAACATAGGAATTGTAAGCACAAAACCTATTCACCTAAAAAAATAAAAAAACATTAAATTATGCAATAGGAATCCAAATGGTAAATAAATTTTAAATGTAGTGAAGCCTTTATTGGTACAATGTTCCACTTATGAGTAAGCTTTATCAAGCAGATCAAATAATAAAGATCCCTCAGGGTGAAATATTGTACCAACAGAGATTTCATTGTATTCAATGTCCATTTACTACTTGTCAGCATTACATCTTTAATCAGTACAGTACAGTATATGAATCTAAATGTGTGTGTGCTGTAACAAAAAAAAAATCTGTGCTACATAATTGCTGTGATAATGGTCTTTCACAGGTAACAATAAATCTTAGTGATTAACAGATAGATGAATCTTAGAGCACTTAACCCCTAAACGGTCCAAACGTATATATACGTTCTCTCGCGTAGCGCCCCAAACGTACATATACGTTTTCTTTGTCATTCATTCAACATTGCCACAATAAACCTGAGTCACCTAGACATGAGAGAATGGGTGTGTGCATTCAGTGTGTGCCATATTAAAATAATTGGGGACACCTGGGTACCATATACTCTTTTTCCTATTAAAAAAAATTATTTTTTTCTCAAAAATTTGGGCACTGACATATGTAACGATATTATATGTTTGGACCGTTTAAGGGTTAATATGGTGAACAAAACTATTCTTACACAGCCACATCTTAAAACTGGAATTTAAGTTTTAAATGTTATTATAGGTTTTGAAGGCCACCATATCTAATGCCATACTGAGCCCTACTTTCCAGTTTCTGCTGAAAGAATAGTGTCCAAAGCTGTGAAAGAATTGGGAAGGAACTAGGGGAATATTTGGGTGAATCCCATACCTAAACCTGATAGCTAATGCCCACTTAACTGAATCTGAACCTGCTTCCTGAGGCCTTTAAAATCTTGGGAGCAGATAGACAGTCCCATGACCAATTGCTCAGCTGGCTGTATGTGATGAGAATAATGTCCTGTGAAAAGAATGGGGCAATTTATAACTATTGCTCAGGTCTGGGTAGAGCAAGACATCCACATTCTACCATCATACCAACACCAACACTGAGTCCCACATTGCTAAGCATACAGACCATTATTTTTTTTCAATATAGAGCACTGTTCTCTTCTCTAATGGGTGAACTAGATTAAGTAGTGCTTCATACTGATAGATGGAGTTGAAGTAAGAGAGGTAATAAAAAGTGTATAATGATTCAGATGGGGGAAGAAGCCTTACACTGTATCCTCTTGTGAATGCATGAAATTATGGGTTTGTGGAAGCCTGCAGTATCAAAATCAAAATCTTTATCTCCATGTAAAGCTTACAATGTGTGGTTTACATGTTATAAAATATTAATTACAAAGAAGGTCACTAGCATGCCTAGGTATTTCAGGCAGTAATGGACAGTGAATAGTTTAAGAAGGCTAAAAGGCTTAGGATTTGAAATTTACAGACGAAATACACACACTGCAGAAAAAAATTATTGGGACATTTTGCAAATAAAGCTCTACACAGAATGCAATATTATGCCAATAAAAGACTGTTGTGCAATGTGTGTAGTCTTCACTAATGTCGGCAGAAGGTCATTTGGATTCAGTTCTCAAGGCTGATAAGTAGAGATAGAGAAAAATTTAGCACACAGTACAACATGTACAGTAATTAATTTAAATATATTATCCTCACCAAAACAAAATGCCGCACTATCACTGATTCACTCTACTGCAAATTCATTTATGAAGCTTAAGTAAAAAATCTCCATGAAGGAAAACTTATCAGAGGTCATATCACATTTTACTCATATATATATGTATATATATAGGCAATGTCATTATTATAAAACCAGGCTTAATACAATATCAGCTTATCATCACTACTATAAGACCAGACTTATTAATACAATGTAGGCATTGCTTTCATTATGATTTCTTGATCAATAGGATGTGGACCAACTGGTGTTGCTCAGTTGTGGTGAGGAATTTCTGTGTTATGAAACAAATTTATGAAAATAATACACAGCTATTTTCAATTTATGGGAAACCACTAAACCCACAGGGTCATACAGGGCTCTATGCAGTTCCACTTGCATCAGCATTGTTCAGAAAGTTATCAATCTTGCTCAAACAGGAATATTTCCAGTGTTGATACTATGTAGCTATGTGATAATTATTTCAAATGTTCATAACAAATTAAACATCCATTCATACATTAATATATGACATGTATTCCACTCAAAAATTACACACTAACCACCATGCAACAATCATACAGACTAAAAATCACTCAAAATACCAGTATTTTATCAGTCAGAATTGCATTATTGACTATTGCAAACTGTTTTGCCTCTAACAAGTATTCCACACTCATGTACTGTACAGAACAGTTTTTCTAAACATTCACTGATTTTAGAGTATACAAAAGATCTTGTACTGAATGTATTCGTCTCTCAGCTGGAGTGTTAGGCTCCGAGCTGTGATATGATATTCTTTCTCCTCCTGCTGTGCGTCTACCTCCTCCATTCCTACTTTGATCCAGAGAAACCATTTCAGAATCTGGAGTGGGAGCATCTTCCAAAATCTCATCTGAATTAGCATTGGAAGAGGACATAACACGGCGGAGCGGCAACGATAAGTTTGCTCTGGAAGGCCTTGTGGATGTTGGGAAATTAGAAGTAGAGCTGTCAGCCATAGAAGGGCCCATGTGAACGATAGCTTCAGTAAGAGTAACATTTCCATTCAGATCTGAAGCATCTGGTGAGCGAGATGGGGCTTCCTGCAGTGGTTCTATGGAATTAGTAGACAATGGTGTGGCTGCAGGTTCCCCATCACAACCTGGGAGTGTTTCATAGCAATGCTCAGTTTCAGTTTGCCCATCTGGGCGATCGGTGAGTTGGGAAGGTAGAGGATCATTGTCATTGAGGTGATTTCGTCCTCCAGGGTGTATATGATGAATATGATGGAGAGGATGTAAAGGGTGGAGGGGATGAAGTTGTCTGATAGAATGGAGAGCTAGGTTTTGATTAAATGATGGCTGAGTTGCAGATGGAGTGTTATCTCTCTGACTTGGAGAAGAAGGAGAAGGACCAGATGTGGTGGGTGTGTAACATGAGTATGCATCAGTATCAGTTATCATCGGTGAAGTACTGGACATGTCTGTCAATGGAGACACAACACTGTAGGTATTTTCAGTTTCTGCAGCAAGGCTATGATCAGATGAGGAAGTGTGAACAATCATGGTGTCATCAGATGCATGATGTGAACTATCATCATCTTTCTCACGAACTTGTTCATACGTATGGTTTAGAGAGGCATCTAATACCTCCTTGTCACTTGGAGATGGAGTGTTTTGACTGGCAGAGCTTGTTGGTTCTGAGTAGTACAGCATCTCATCTCCATCTTGCCTCACTGATATGCATGATGATACATCAGCAAAATACAGTTCTGATTCCTGCTCAACTTTTCCACTTGTATATACAGCTTTGGGATCACTAATGCTCTTGATGTGTTTACTACGATATGCCTCACGAGGTACATCAGCCTGAGACTGAAATTTATCTAGATGTGTAATGTCTTTTCCATCACAAAACAAAACTTCCAGCGGTTCATCATGTTTATGTTCATTTACATCACCAAGTGACTTGACATGACCCAGTGGGAGTCTCCTATTGCGATGCCTGGAGGGAAGTGAACTGGACCCACCAAGAGTTCCTCCTTGCTCAGTAGATCCTCCTTTATGGCGACCCCGTGTCACACGCTGATTTTGAGAAGGGGAGCTTAGGATTTCTGAATCATCACTGGGGGATGAAAGCGTGTTACTAGTAGGACTAGCAGGGCCATTCATTAAGTCAGCTAGTGTAGCAGGACGACGAGCTGGGGAGGACCTTATAGCCTGTGCCACTATTCCTTGTAGGATGGTTGGTGAAGTAGGTGAATTTGGGTGATGATGTGGTGACATGTGCATGGCTAAGTTTTCAGAAGAAGTTGGCTGAGAGTAGGGTGGCGGAGGGCCCCACATGTACCGTGGAAAAGCCTCCTGGTATGCCATGGGAGGAAGGTAGGCCTCTGTGAATGGTGGTGGGTATCGGGGTAGCTGGAGTACTACGCCTGGGTCAGAAAGTGGGCGTCGGTTGTGGTGGCTGGTAGGATGTTGGCGGCGAAGGCCCAAACGACTTTCCAGACCCCGGGGAAGAAATGGACGTAGCAGGACACCAGTCACTTGTGCTCTATTATCTTCACTGTAAGAAAAGTAAGAATTACTGTAACAATTAAGATTAAAAAAAGTCTTACCAATTTTTTTAAAAGCAAAGGGCACTTAGGCTGTAGACATTATAGCACTGAAATGCTATCATGACAGTTTCAAATTGCCTTTTATTACTTACATGTTTTTATCATTTCATTGCTATTATTATTTTTATTATTTCACTGAAAAACTCTGGATAGGCAGAGCATTTTAGTGAAACTAAAATTAGAAAGTTTCTTTGCATTGTATATATACATAATTGAATTTAGTTGCAAGGGTCAGAAAGCTGACAAACCAGATTAAGACAAGTATAACAGCGTAAGCATCTACAAGAATGATGTTATACTCAAGTGGATCTTTATCAGTTGAACTTTGCTAAAACTCCACTAAGTGAAACATTGTTATAGTGAAGACTTATGATATATTATGTGTCTTTCTATCCAGCAAGAACAGAGTTGTATAATTTAGAGGTGAGAAATGAGTTTGAACTGTCAATTTTATATGTATACAAAGAGTAATTTTTAATTGACAGTCATATAAATATAGTTATTTTAAATTGGCACTTGTACATATATAAATATAAATTTATTTATGACAAATTCAGTGCATAATCACTTTTGTACCTTAATTAGTTTAAGTTTAATATCTTTATTATGCACCCTTACCCATCCTGTGGACGGTAAACCTTGATGTGTTGTCTTCCGTAAAGCAGTGCATAGCACATTTTCCGAGATATTTATCATACTTCATTGTATTTTAAACCCATGATAATGTAGCTGTTTGATTTGAAACTAGAGCTGCAAGTTGAGAAGGTGCATAGACAAATATATCGTTATGAAATAGAGGAAACTAAGCAGCATCAAATTAAGAATTTCAATCAAAAGGAGTAAAACTAAACAGAAAGAGATCACTGTATAAGAATTGACCCTGTAGTTAACTGTTAAATACTTAAACTTCAGAGATGCAGAATTATATTATTATACAACTCTGTTCTTGCTGGATAGAAAGACACATAATATTCAATTCAATTCAATTCAATTCGAAGTTTATTCTCTATAAAGATTACAATGTTGAATTTACAGAATTTGGTTGTTGTGTGGTTTACATGTAGTTAAATAATGATTACAGAGTGTACCACTAGAACACCTAGCATGGCTAGGCATTTCGGGCAGACTTAGTTTAATTCTTTATTTTAAAATATTACAAATTATGAGGTAAGTTGGTATTATGGCTAAGTGACTAAATACTAGTTTGTGAGTTTAGCAATGTGAATGCTTTTGTTTTGGCACAGTACATAGTTTCAGTATTGGAGTATCACAGGATTCATTATTTTAAGATTGAGATTAATATTTCTGTTTATGGTCAAATGGGTGAGTGAGTGTAAGTGTGAACCACCAGGTGGTATTCGTGTAGTTAGTTGATGGGGTGTATCAGAGAGATAAGATGTTTTCTAATGGTAGTTTTGAAGGTGATGAATGTGTCTGCAGTTCTAGAGTTCTCAGGTAGGGTGTTCCAGATTTTAGGGCCTTAAGTCTTCATTATAACAATGTTTCACTTAGTGGAGCTTTATCAAAGTTCAACTGACAAAGATCCACTTGAGCATAACATCATTCTTGTAGACGCTTACGCTGTTATACTTGTCTTAATCCGGTTTGTCAGCTTTCTGCCTCTTGCAACTAAATTCAACTACGTATATATACAATGCAAAGAAATTTTACTTTCTAATTTTAGTTTCACTAAAATGCTCTGCCTATCCAGAGTTTTTCAAAATGTATGAAATAAACATTAATTAATTTTGTAACAATTGTGCACATTTTTAAAATAAAATTAATTTGTTTGTTTCTATTAATTATCTGGATGTCTAGTCCATATATAATGCTAATATAATACTGAAATTCTCCATAAAATACTGATTCTGTAATTGATAACATCTCACTATATTCTTAAGTGGCATCTTACCTCTGGCCATTTTCCCCAGTAGTAGTGGAGGCGGCAGAGGTTGGTTCCACTGGTATTACTGCTTGCTGCTGCTGCTGCTGCTGCTGCTGCTGTTGCTGTTGCTGTTGCTGTTGCTGCTGATGTGCTGTACCACTATGAGCAGCCCACCCACTTCCCCAGGGAAGCCACAGTGGCCCCTGACCCTGTGGTGTAGCAGTGCCCAATAGTACTGAACGTGATGCATTGGAAGAGTCTTCAGCCCCTGGAGCATAAAACTGCCCCCCTGCCCAGTACCTAGAATGCAAATTATCACAATTTTAGCCTAAAATGTAAGCATTTATTATAGTGACTTAAATTTCATGTGGTCTTCTACATTTCCAGAACTAAAGATAGTGATAAAAGCAGATCACAGTACAGTATATATGTAGCTTTAGAGATTAGTTTGCCCAAAATACACTGCATACTATTGGCATTCTTTTGTGCCTAACAATGTTTTATTACATGTAAACTACATTATCTGCATACCACAAAAAAAAAAAGAAATAAAAATCTGAATTTGAATAATGCATGGCACAAACTGCATACACTACTGTAGTCACATACAGAGCTATAATGGTACAATTACTCCCAAAATGTTAGGTAAATGGACACAGAGCAACTAATGTAACATTATATTGTGGAAACATTTCACCACAATAAAATGATGATCATATGGTAGATGTTAAGAGTAGTTAGATTTATATATCATTTGGTTACAATTTTGAAACAATTATAATAAAGATAAAATATGATACAAATGTGTGTATGTCATGTAAGACAATCATTATGGAACCTTAATTAACATTTGATCACCCAAGGAATTTTATTGAGTTAACTAAGAACATAACTATGTACAATACTCTACATATATCAAGGTCCTGCAAGACATCCTTATAATATGTACTGTAAAATTTTATTTTACATAGAGAGAAAGAAGATATGCCATCTCTGAGCCTATGCTGGCATTTTGTGAAAAAATTCCTTCCCTCTAAATCAGTACTGTATTTCTCAAATAATGGCTGCAGTCACTAAAGGGGTAATGAGTGGAGTAAACCTTAAATGATTGTAGGTCATCTGGCAAACTGGCTGAGAAACACTGCACTAAGTGTATGTGCACTCAAACAAATGTTTTGAAATGCAAGAATTCAAGAACAGCTATCACAATGAGCTCACCTATCATCAAGTGTGTCCCAGGGTGCCCAAGGATAGAGTTCTGAAGGCGGAACAAAGCCATATTCATCACAGCAAGAGCAGGCATTGGGAGCTGGGGCACGACGGTACAGAAGGCGCCTACGGTGCTCAAGCTGCTCCCAGTACATCTTCTTTTTCTCGTGGCTGTAATAAATAAAGCACATACTGTAAGTCAGGCTTATCTTGGAAAATGTAGCACCAGCATGGAACACCCACCTAATAAAGCTTGTTAAGAAACTATAGAAAGTGCAGGGGTTTACATCAAAATTGCTTCCACAACTGAGTACAACAGAAAATGAGGAGAGACTAGAAGAGTTGAACAAGACAACAATAGAAGATTGAAGGAAAAGGAGAATAATAATAGCAAAATAAATCTTAGAGAACTTTATAAGGTGCACTGTGAAAGGCTGTCTAAGAGGCAGAAAATAGGTATACTAGGGCACATGTGGAAATTATAGAAACAGATTAACCACAGGGATGTCAGAAAATACTCAAAATGGTTAGAAAATGGAATGATTTTTGATGAAGTGAAGGAGGTAGACTTTATACACAGCATTAAGAATAAAGATCAAAGTACACACAAGACCAGGAGAGTTACCCTAATTAAATGGTCTGACCAGGAGCCAGTGCATATTTTAAGGCTACTAAAATATTTAAAAATAAATATTTGATTACACAGAAATACAATGGTTTAAAATATAATTTAATGCAATAAAAATTTAGTACAATATAAAAATAAAAATATGAGGCAAGTAATGTAAATGATAAACAAAAAATTAGGGTAGGATTTTGTACTACCTTCAGAAATTATTATACAAATGTATCTATACCTGGAGTTTACCTGGAGAGAGTTTCGGGGGTCAACGCCCCCGCGGCCCGGTCTGTGACCAGGCCTCCTGGTGGATCAGCGCCTGATCAACCAGGCTGTTGCTGCTGGCTGCACGCAAACCAACGTACGAGCCACAGCCCGGCTGATCAGGAACCGACTTTAGGTGCTTGTCCAGTGCCAGCTTGAAGACTGCCAGGGGTCTGTTGGTAATCCCCCTTATGTGTGCTGGGAGGCAGTTGAACAGTCTCGGGCCCCTGACACTTATTGTATGGTCTCTTAACGTGCTAGTGACACCCCTGCTTTTCATTGGGGGGATGTTGCATCGTCTGCCAAGTCTTTTGCTTTCGTAGTGAGTGATTTTCGTGTGCAAGTTCGGTACTAGTCCCTCTAGGATTTTCCAGGTGTATATAATCATGTATCTCTCCCTCCTGCGTTCCAGGGAATACAGGTTTAGAAACCTCAAGCGCTCCCAGTAATTGAGGTGTTTTATCTCCGTTATGCGCGCCGTGAAAGTTCTCTGTACATTTTCTAGGTCGGCAATTTCACCTGCCTTGAAAGGTGCTGTTAGAGTGCAGCAATATTCCAGCCTAGATAGAACAAGTGACCTGAAGAGTGTCATCATGGGCTTGGCCTCCCTAGTTTTGAAGGTTCTCATTATCCATCCTGTCATTTTTCTAGCAATGCGATTGATACAATGTTATGGTCCTTGAAGGTGAGATCCTCCGACATAATCACTCCCAGGTCTTTGACGTTGGTGTTTCGCTCTATTTTGTGGCCAGAATTTGTTTTGTACTCTGATGAAGATTTAATTTCCTCGTGTTTACCATATCTGAGTAATTGAAATTTCTCATCGTTGAACTTCATATTGTTTTCTGCAGCCCACTGAAAGATTTGGTTGATGTCCGCCTGGAGCCTTGCAGTGTCTGCAATGGAAGACACTGTCATGCAGATTCGGGTGTCATCTGCAAAGGAAGACATGGTGCTGTGGCTTACATCCTTGTCTATGTCGGATATGAGGATGAGGAACAAGATAGGAGCTAGTACTGTGCCTTGTGGAACAGAGCTTTTCACCGTAGCTGCCTCGGACTTTACTCTGTTGACGACTACTCTCTGTGTTCTGTTAGTGAGGAAATTATAGATCCATCGACCGACTTTTCCTGTTATTCCTTTAGCGCGCATTTTGTGCGCTATTACGCCATGGTCACACTTGTCGAAGGCTTTTGCAAAGTCTGTATATATTACATCTGCATTCTTTTTGTCTTCTAGTGCATTTAGGACCTTGTCATAGTGATCCAGTAGTTGAGACAGACAGGAGCGACCTGTTCTAAACCCATGTTGCCCTGGGTTGTGTAACTGATGGGTTTCTAGATGGGTGGTGATCTTGCTTCTTAGGACCCTTTCAAAGATTTTTATGATATGGGATGTTAGTGCTATTGGTCTGTAGTTCTTTGCTGTTGCTTTACTGCCCCCTTTGTGGAGTGGGGCTATGTCTGTTGTTTTTTTAGTAACTGAGGGACGACCCCCGTGTCCATGCTCCCTCTCCATAGGATGGAAAAGGCTCGTGATAGGGGCTTCTTGCAGTTCTTGATGAACACAGAGTTCCATGAGTCTGGCCCTGGGGCAGAGTGCATGGGCATGTCATTTATCACCTGTTCGAAGTCATTTGGCGTCAGGATAACATCGGATAGGCTTGTGTTAATCAAATTTTGTGGCTCTCTCATAAAAAATTCATTTTGATCTTCGACTCTCAGTCTGGTTAGCGGCTTGCTAAAAACTGAGTCATATTGGGACTTGAGTAGCTCACTCATTTCCTTGCTGTCATCTGTGTAGGACCCATCTTGTTTAAGTAGGGGCCCAATACTGGACGTTGTTCTCGATTTTGATTTGGCATAGGAGAAGAAATACTTTGGGTTTCTTTTGATTTCATTTATGGCTTTTAGTTCTTCCCGCGATTTCTGACTCCTAAAGGATTCTTTTAGCTTAAGTTCGATGCTTGCTATTTCTCTGACCAGTGTCTCCCTGCGCATTTCAGATATATTGACCTCTTTTAGCCGCTCTGTTATTCTTTTCCGTCGCCTGTAAAGGGAGCGCCTGTCTCTTTCTATTTTACATCTACTCCTCCTTTTTCTTAGAGGAATAAGCCTTGTGCATACATCGAGTGCCACCGAGTTAATCTGTTCTAGGCATAAGTTTGGGTCTGTGTTGCTTAGTATATCTTCCCAGCTTATATCGGTTAGGATATGGTTTACTTGGTCCCACTTTATGTTTTTGTTATTGAAGTTGAATTTGGTGAATGCTCCCTCGTGACTAGTCTCATTTTGTCGGTCTGGGGCTCCACGCATACATGTCTGAACCTCAATTATGTTGTGATCTGAGTATATTGTTTTTGATATGGTGACATTTCTTATCAGATCATCATTGTTAGTGAAGATGAGGTCTAGTGTATTCTCCAGTCTAGTAGGCTCTATTATTTGCTGGTTTAAATTGAATTTTGTGCAGAGATTTAAAAGCTCGTGTGAGTGTGAGTTTTCATCTGAGCTGCCTCCTGGTGTTATTACTGCAACAATATTATTTGCTATATTCCTCCATTTTAGGTGCCTTAAGTTGAAGTCCCCCAGGAGCAAGATGTTGGGTGCAGGAGCTGGAAGATTTTCCAGACAGTGGTCAATTTTTAACAGCTGTTCCTGGAATTGCTGGGATGTTGCATCCGGAGGCTTGTAGACTACCACAATGACTAGGTTTTGGTTCTCGACCTTTACTGCTAAAACTTCCACTACATCATTTGAGGCATTAAGCAGTTCTGTGCAAACAAGTGACTCTGCAATGTACAGGCCAACCCCCCCCTTTTGCCTGTTCACTCTGTCACATCTGTATAGGTTGTAACCTGGGATCCATATTTCGTTGTCCAAGTGATCCTTTATGTGGGTCTCAGTGAAAGCCGCGAACATTGCCTTTGCCTCTGCAAGCAGTCCACGGATGAAAGGTATTTTGTTGTTTGTTGCTGGCTTTAGACCCTGTATATTTGCAAAGAAGAATGTTATCGGACTGGTGGAATTGTTGGTACTGGGGGGGGATTTTTTTTCCGGCATTAGTATCTGTATCTGTTGGTTTGGAGTGGAGGCCATCGACTGTGGTTCCACTCCAGGAATGACTGGATTTGGTGTACGATTTCTGCCATTTCCTGCCAGTTTTTTTTTCTTCCTGGCACTAAAAAACCTCTCCCTCTTGAGTGGCTGTGGCTACCCAGGTTTTCCCATGGCCTTTACAAAAGGTGCCCTGAATGGGGAATTACTAAACTAGATGAACATTAGTGTGTAAGAAACTCAAATCCTGTGTTAGTGATATCCACAGAGCTTGGTATATTTAATGCTGATGGGTACTTCAGAGCATGATAGTGATAAGAATGAATGCTTCTCATTACTGAGAGAGCTATGGATTACTGTAGTAACACACCAACTCCTTGATAACATTCACTGAGGATGAGTAGAATATATGAGAGCAAGAGAGAATTGAGAATCAGAAAAGAGAGCCAGAGTTTGAAATGGAAGGAGAGAAAGGGTGAAGAGAACGGAGTGGTGAATGGCAAACAGCTCCCTTCCCAGGACTGAGTGAGACAGACCTAGTTACCAGGTCTGACACAAAAAGAAATCAGTGAAAATTGCAGTTGAGGATGTAGGAGGGAAGGTACATGCTGAGCCACCCAATTAAATGTGACACCCACTTCCTTTACCCACCATGTTTACAAGTATGCAGTGATTCTTTTCCCTGCAACCAACATCTCCAACTGATTATCTTTCTGACCATAGTATTGGTAAAGCTCTTTTACAAGATGTTGGCCAAAATATATCCTTTCACACTCTTTGAAGCAGTGCACACGTAGTTGCAGTCCAGAATGCAGAACAAGCTCATGCTCTTTCCCATTTTACTTCCATTGACAACATTCCAATCACAGTTCACAAGCACGCTACTCTCAATTCTTGCAGTGGTACAGTGGTTTTACTGCATACCATTGTACAGAGTGATCTTCTGTCTTGCGGTGATGATATTTTGGAACAATTACCCCTTTAGGACCTTCCCATTCTCAAAGTAGATACACATGCTCTACCCACTTGCGGGCGTAGGTGCTTTCCCAGTAACATCGCCCGCTTAACCTTTAACTGCCGTGAACTCCCGTCCTTCATTTATATCTTTATATCGCGGGCCATCGCCTAGAAGTCTGTAAAGTAGTCCCTACTCCCCAACAGTATCAAAATTGCTGGTGCTTCAGACACCCTGCTAAATACTGCAGATCTGCAGCAGAGTGCCTGGTCTGCAG